ACATTTTAATAAGGGAACAAGGGAAAGTTGTTTTTGTCATTGGCCATCGCGGCCAATATAGTTCGCTACAACTTTTTCAATCAAATGCCCTTTTCAGAAGACTAGTCTGCAACTTATAGAACAGAGATAAAGGCAGCGACCAAATCCCCAATTCACATCCCCATCGCCGTCATTCATGTTCACGTTCCCCTTCATTCCTTAATGAGGAAAGACAATTGATTTATGAATTATCTATTTAAAACACACACTCAGCATCTTCCCTAGAAATTTCCTAGGGTGGCTTGCAATGTTTATAAGAAAATAGACGGAACAAATACATACATAAGTAAATAAACGTCTGAAAACCACAGATTTCAAAATGCAAAGGCTGGAACGAAGGCTCAGACATCGGCAAAGAGACAAAACAAGAGACGCCGTAACACAGCACCAAGGAAATTAATTTTAAAAGCTCCACTGCCATTTACAGATGTTAGAATATTGGTGTATTAGCATATCAAAAGGTCTCTGGGAAGAAAGTTGGCTTGGCCACATGCTGGCATGATCGTGAAGTAGCTGCTGGGCATGCTTCGGTAGGAATAATATTCAAAAATATTCAGTCGGAAAAAATATTTAAAAATATTCTGTAGGGGGAAAAAAATCAGGCCCTTTCTTAGTCGTCACTTGCCCTCCCTTGGCATGAAGGGCACCTGGAACTGTTCTAAATCAGACAATGATTTAATCATCATCGTCATGATCACCTGAGATGAGCATCGTGGTGACCTAGTGGTGAAGCTAATCGCCTCCTATTTGGAAAGTTGAGTTCAATTATTGGTAGTAGCTGATATTTCTCTTCCCGGGTGCAAAGAAAAAAAAAATATTGTTAGAATATTCACGACTGCGAAACACATGGTAGCAAGGTCAGCCAATGAATAGGCATAACAACCCAGTCACCCAATGGGAGCTTAAACAGATCTGTGCTGAGAATCGAAACTGAAACTACTCTGTCTGCTCTAAACTCTGAAATGAAACTAACTGTTCTCTCCTGCTAATGCTTGGTAACTTCTCCCGCGTTGAAAGAGTCTACTATTGGTATTCTACATTTATTCATCTGTCATTATGTATATAAAGAAGGAATCCAGCTGAATCAGTTATCTGTGCATGGATTTGGTTTGTCTGCAACAAATTCTGACAAATACCTGCTGTGAACTCCACGTGGCATCAGGAAGGGCATTCGGCCAGTAAACGCTCAGTTCCATCCAGTTGCCCTGACTCTACCCCAAATTCGTTATGAGATAAGAGTCGTAAAAGGGGAGTATCGTGATCATTTGAGATGATCTAAAGCAGCATTCCTCAAACTTGGGACCTTGAAGAGGTGTGGACTTCAAGGCTGCCGATTCACTACAAAACAAAAAAAGATTTGAGACTCTGGAAAGACTGCAGGGAAGAGCAACATAGATGATTAGGGGGCTGGAGGGTAAAAGACATGAAGAAAGGGTATATCTAGTCTAGTGAAAAGAAGGACTAGTGGTGACATGATAGCAGCCCTCCAATATCTAAAGGGTTGACACAAAAAAAGGAATTAACCTATTTGCCAAAGCACCTGAA